AATTTTGCCAAGCATAACATAGCATCCAACCTCCCAGAGCTGACCTTCCAGTTTTATAAAAGGCATTAACAAGCATACATACAAATACATACATACATACAAATGTTTTGTTACAAAAAAACATATGCTACTTTTGAAAAGATAAACCTATGAATCTTCCAGACTATACTCCTGATTCCACCTTCCATCATTGCTTTAAAAAGTTGCATTTGCAGCTGATTCCGAGATTTCAAAACATCTCTGCCGTATTATGAAGATAAAACATTTATCTAAATACGTATTTTCTCATTTCCTATAACGTTAAAAGAGATGTCTTTTGTCAAGTAAAATTGACCTTAATGTTTGACTGTTATGGAAAAAAGTATGTTACCTAGTTGCAGCTCTTACTTAAGAGGACTAAAGGCCCAGCAAGTGAATGCAATAACAGCGCAACACTACGAGAGCTCCTCCATCTGGAATCCCGCCAAAATTATCTGTTCAGATAAATGGCCTGACAAAAGGGAACCATAAACAAGGTTACTCTTTCGACATCATAAAGTTGACGCATATCCTGCCCAAGCTAGTTTTGTATAAAGCAGCAAATAAATCTAAGAGATAAATAAAATGCAAAGAGATGCTTTTATTTCAGATAAGCCTGCCTATTTATTCAGAAACCATTTGTGCAACAATTTTTGGCCCATCTGAAACAATTTCCCTGAGTATGTGCAACTCTGATCCATTTCCAGCCCACATCACTATAAATACTGATTATTTCATACCCTGTACAGCATATTTTGTGTAACCAAGTTCGATTTAAAACTAAAGCTATTAAAATGAACCATCAACTTTGCAATTGCCTACGGTGCTTTTTCTTCCCCCTTTTTTTTTTTTAATCTTCTCAATAGTATAAATTGGATAATGCAGAAAGAAGCTTGATGAGAGCATTTGCAATGTGGGGTGAAACAGCACGAAAAACAAAGTGCTGAAAGAGACTTTGAAAAGACTCATAACATCTTTTTTCATAATTTTGAAAAATGCTTTCAGTATGTATAGCAGAAATATTTTTACCTATAAGCAACAGCAGCACATGTAGCGTCTTTAAAAAGAAATCTTTAAGCATGTAGTCCAGGCATCCTCTGGGAGATTTATGGTTTAATTGCTCAATATGCCACATATTTCACACAAGTTTTTTAAAAATACTGAAATAGAAGTTAAACCTAGGTCATTTAACAGGGTATGTACGGTGCTGTGCAAAATTTAAACACATTTTCCTTTCAAATTAAAGGATTTAGTGACCTACCAAATCCCGGAATGCTTTTGAGACTGGATTTGAGACAGATTTTTTCAAGTCTGAGGTAGCTGTATCGCAGCAGGCAGTTCCACAGGAACATCCAGTCCATTCGTGTGCGGTGGTTCATAATAATGACACTCCTTTCTCCAGGAACAAATCCATCACCAGTGACAATCACCTTGGCACCAAACACCATCTCCAGCAAGGCCTAGAAATAATATCTCAGTATTATGGCTTTACTCCCAGAAGAAACGCATCAGCTCATTAGCAATAAAAATTAATTTGAATTATATCATTTCGCTTATTCACTCACATTATCACTGGTAAACAAACTTCTGACTGTTTTCTAATAAAGCAGCCAGCTTTTCCACAGTAACAGTCAGCTGTTTAATGGAAGAGGAAACAATTAAATAGCACTTCTTAAAAAGCACTCTTTTACAATGTATGTCCAACATGAAACTTGGTTTTCCCTGTTTTTCCCAGAATATTATTATGCAGGAATAGAAGCAAGGGAATCAGTATGGATTATAACTTGGTAAGTAAAATCTAAGGAGAGACTGGCTGCACAAATAATCTATTGCTCAACTTTGTCAGGGCTGGGAAGGCACCAGAAGCTGCCTTGCTTTCTGCTTGGGTTCAAATGGTCAACATGTTTCTGCTTGACTTCCACCTGCAAAAATGGCTAGAACCTAATGGCAGAAAGAGCAGCTGAGAGAGAAATCCCAAACAAGCTTGAACATAGTACAGTGATGTAGACCTAGGTCTGCACAGCTCTGCAGTGCTACCTTGAAGCCTGGGTCTCCACCCCACAATTTGCAAAAACCATCAACCACCAAACGCTGGTACACAGTCATCTGCGAAGTGCCGTCCCAAAGCACGGAATAAGCCTCAAATGTGGAAGGACACAAACAAGAGGCCAGGCAAACAGCTTTTCCGTTTTGCCTGAACAGCCAGTGATGCTAGAAGTTCACATATAAAACATGTTTCTTGCTTTACCCGCTACATGGCTCTGAAGGGTCAAGTTATAAATCACAGGTTGGTGGTTTATCAAAAGAAAAAAGCAGGCAAGAGCTACACAGTAAGTTTAAGAGGGCCTGGTTTCATAACCTGGACAGTTGGACCATAAACATAACTAGACTAGTTGCACATAACATCAGAGCCCAACAGCATGCTCTGGGCATGTTCACACCGCTAAAGTCTCTTAACCTCCAAAACAAGGTGGCCACATACAAATTGCCTATGGAAAATGGTTTCTGACCCATGACCATTCCCAAATCATGCAAGAAAGTGTATGGAGGAGTACTGGCTGGTTACACCAAAAGACCAGGACCAGGCAAATAATTCAAAAATATGGATGACAGAATGCTAGTGCCTTGCAACCTTTTAATACCCAGCGGAAACACAGTGGAAAGGTACAAAATCCCAAGAAACAGAGGTAGACAACAGGTATTACCTAGAGGTATGACTTAAGGCCCTAAGGTTAGGGCCACTGGCAGGACATTGTTCAACCCAGTTAGCACAGAAAAAGAAACCACAAAACATGATGGGACATCTAGAGGAATAAACTTAACAATTGGCCTTAACATAAAAAAAATTGAAGCACTTCAAATTGCCTCCTTACCTTCTCTTCCCCATTCTTCCTCCAGAAAAATATAGAAAAAGAGCAAAGTCTGGGGATTTAAACAGAGGTCTAGGAAGTAAACCAACTTTCTGTTCTGTTCATATTTCTGCCACCTCTGTGCCACAGAACCTCAAATAACACAAATTTCTCAGTTTAAGTCACCCGTAAAACTGGAATGACATTCTCACAATCACAGATGGCTTGAGATCTCAGAATGAAAAGCATTACATGGGCCAAATAGTAACACTGTTGGAGTCCAACTGGTCCAAGATGACTTTATTGTTTGGAGACACAAACCCAAGTACCTGCTTCTCCTGACTAAGGATGAGCAGAAAACTACTGCAGACAAGGTCTGAGCCTCAAAAACGCTGGGTGCAAAATCTTTTTCAGACCCCTTTCCTGAACCTAAATCCCCAAGATTCTTACAAGACAGAATCTTTTTCACAAAAATATTCAAATTGTTTTGGTTTAGGTCCAGTGTGGGCTGAAATCAAACTTCTAGACTGCAAAAGTTATCACAGACTAGTTGTAATAATCGAGAATTATAAAGCCCAGGCAGCTAATCAAATAAAAGACCAATATTTGATTTGGGGGAGTTTGCAGTTTTAGAAAAACTGGGAGACAAACAGGCAGAAAGGGTCGATTTTGTGACACTATCAGTACTCACCTAAATTTCACCATGGCAAGAAATAACAATCCCTCTATTCCCTTTACTGGTAATTATTTCTTCCCTCCTAATTTCATCGCATTTAGTAATGATGAAAAGGACAAAAGTTTTAGAACATGAAACAGCTTACACCCCTTTAAAACACACAGGACAGAAACAGAGAAAGCGGAAACTGTTTGATATGTAATAAAAATAAATCTTCCTTTATGCCACAAGATACTTATTTCTGCACACCAATATAGCATTTTACTTCAGAAAAAAAGTTAAACAAATCTTTAAAGGCCTCGAGGAACAAAGTCCCTTGGCTTTTAGAGAACGGATGAAGAGACAGATCCCATTCATACCACCTTTCCTCAGGAACAATTCAGGGACGAGCTTTGTTATTGATTTCCAGACTCCTATAGCTACAAAGTTGATGCAGTGTAAGTGAGGAAGACTTCATTTCTCGGGGAAGTTCTTCTTTTTCACCTGAAATCATTTGTCTCTAATTCAACTACAAGGACTAAATTCTAAGAGGATTAAGTAAGAGAACAGTAAGGTCAGCAACAATGTACCAGACAGTGAATAATTTTCCTAATTAGATAGTTGGAGCACAGTCAAAAGGAAGTGTTCATAAGACGACTCACTTCGGAAGTCTGTAATTTAGAAAATTCTCCTGCTTACTAGTGCTTCACCTAATCTTCTCTGATCAGCACCTAACTGACACTGGATGGAGGTGTCATGAAAAGGCCTTTTCAAGAGTACAGTTAAGACATAGCATTAGCTTACATATAAACTGTGGAAAAAGAAGGGGACTGTAGACAGGCACAGAATCTGCGACACTGAGCTAAAACCTAAGTCTCCAAAGATAGTAAATATGTTAAGGACTGGTTTGACAAAAGCATAAAAACTTTAAAAAAATAAAATTAAATTAAAAGTCTCAGCAAGCAAAGTAAATCGTGGGATTATAAACATTTGCCCAGAACTTGGCTCAAACTGCAACTTACCACTGGGAGTGTGAGCCAAGTGGCCACAATGCAATCGGTGATCCAGCGATACCAGGCCGGTGAGATAAACATCAAAGGTAGAAAAGGACCGAGCATGAATATACTTCCAAAAAAACTTCCCAAGAATAGTGCAAGTAGAAAGTATATCCCTTTCCATGACACCATGGCTCTGAAAGAGAAAGTTGGCGTTATGTTAGAGAGATACACTGAAAGTACATACATAACTCTTCAAGTCCATAGGTCCAGCTTGAGGTAATATTCCTCCTTTTTTCCATGGCTAACAACACATGACAATAGTAAACACGCAACCAAAACATTCTACCTCACAAGCAGCAGTAAGAGAACGACTTTAGAAACACAGTGGTTTGTAAGGTGCATTGGGATATTAAAGGGGTCATAAAAGTATCAGCTACATCGTAATTTCCTCCACTTATTACAATATGTAATTCCACTCCGAAATCTTCAGCAAGCTATTTTTATTATACAACGGTACGAAGAGCTATATAACAGAACACCTGTTATATTAAACTTTTCAGCCGTTATCTCTGTCATTGGCAAAGCACTAATGTTAGCATTTTCTAAAGATAGGGAACTTTGCTTTTCTACTTCTTTATTTTGTTTCTTCTTGCTAAACCCAGCGTTGCAGAACCTCACCTTCCCCATCTAGCAAGGGTCTACGTGCGACCTCCTTCAGAAACCACTCAAACCTTGCGAGACTGACCAGCCATTTCAAACGTCAGTTCCCTTTTCACCACAACAGGGCAGGCAAGCAGCGGCGGAAACCTCCCGACTCACCCTGGCTTAGAGAATTTGTGACTTTTTGCAGTCTGCTGTACTTCAGCTGTCCTTATCAGTTATTTTCCAACTTATTCCACCAAAAAGCCAATAGCCTTTGGTTTTTAAGACGGTAGTCTAGACTTGAAATATTTCAATGTCTGTACTATTAGCTAGGCTCCCTTATTATAAATTGAAATGTACAATGCACGGAGCTTCTTAATGGATTACGGCAGAACACTCAGCAATCCTCCGAGCATTTGTAATAGCTACAAGCTTTCACAATTTAGCAACTACTACCAGCTATGACAAAGCAAATGTGGAAATATCAATTTTCTAAATTAGGGCCTAAAAATAGACTGTTTTCATCTATTTAGGACTCAACCAATTGTTTATAAAATCAAAGGTTACGTAGAAGTCACTTTTCAGTCACTTTACTGAATTCCTTTTTTGACAGGCTATTTTAGAAATTATAAGAGCTCAGGCAGACCGGACTTCAGGACAAGAAAAACAGGAAGCTGGTATTTTTAATTTTAAAATGAGCAATGGAAAAATAATCCATTAAGCCTTATGTACCGTAACATACATGATTTATCTCAAGCATGTTTTGTGCAATGTCCATAGCAATAATGTTTGCACAGCAAAGTATTCAAAAGTCAAGAAATGGCAATGCTAGTGTTGCTAACACATGAATTTGCTTCTGCTACTTCACGTTGACAAGTAACAAGAAAGTAGCTCTATTTTGGGATACTTTTAGGTTTAAACAATTTCCTAAACTGTACATATGTGGAGGAAGGCCAAGAGAAGAGGCCATGCAAATTTGTTAATGTAATAAGGATACAGGAGGCTGTATTTAGCTCAACTTCTGCAGCATAGCAAAAAAAAAGTTACACTAAATAGAAATGTTTGCTGATAGCTGTATCAGATTTTAACACAATGAAATCTAAACTCAAATACACATTATTTACATCCTGGAGTACAGAGCCCTCTCTCCTGCCAAAAGCAAGAACTAAATAACCTGCTGTCCACATACGCACGTGCTAAGTAGGATCAATTTTGACACATCAAGGGATCCTTGAAGAGCACTGCACTGAAGAAACAATGCTCCAGCTGCCTCCTTGTATTTGTTACTGCAAACCTGTGTGGCGAAAGTCCAAAATAAAGGTACCAGACAAAAGAAAAAACCCAGAGAAGGACAGAAACAACAGAAAGGGCAAAGAAAGGCATTCATTGCAGCAGGACTAGAAGAAAAGGCCTTCTCCTGACATATCAAGATTTGAGACCTACGGCAAAAGGCAGCAGAGAGGACTAAAATTCAATGTGCTTGATCTAATCAAGCATTTTGTGAGGAACACGCACAGCAAAACACCTGGAAACACCGAGGGACAGCTTTCAGACACATAAAACCCACTAGCAGACACAGACCACGAGTTTGCTTAGCTTCAGGCAGCCACTCCGGTCCTCTCCGAGGCTGCTCGGAGCCACCGGTCATCGCGTCAGCTGCAATGACGTCCGCCAGACAGACTCGCCGGCTCCAAGCAGCTGCTGCGCAACACCGAGGTGCGCGCTCCAGTTCCAAATACTTGACCGCTGTGTCCAGGTAACCACAGGGTTAATGAGAGAAGACATCGCTCCATCATCCGCTTAGACTCTTAGGAAAGCAATGCGGGTCACTTATTTACAGACTGAGCTTTTCACAGTTTACGCTGGTCCTTCCTTCAAATTATAGCGCAGAGCCAAATATTTAAGAAAAATAAAATCTTCTCTGTATTTTATGTGAAAGACTGTCTTGTAAACATTTTTTTTTTTAGATGAAGGTGTCTGAGCTATGGAGAAGACCTGAGGAAGTTCTGAAGTTTCTCTTCTTCAACCCCCACCTCAGCAGTATTTTCTTTAGCATTACAGTATATACATATATAAGTTATACTGCATTCCACTAGGTTAAACACCGCGGTGTTTATTTCTAGACACAAAAGATACCATGTGTGTTTTTAGTCGATGTCATTTATCTCTCTTGCAGCCACATTTTTAAAGTGTGATACATACCATATTTTGCTTATTGCTTATATATAAATACATTATATATCTTTACACACATACACATGCATTTATCTAGAATAACGGATGAACTTTGTCTCTGAATTACATCCACCACAGTAAAGCACATACCATGCAAACAGGTGCAAAAACGACTCTCTCTTAATGAATTTGAGCAAAAATTGCAAAATGAGAAGCCTGTGATAATGTGAAGAACTTACAGCAGAGAGCAACCATCCAGCTGGCCTTCTGAAAACAGGGCTCAGCAAGCTCATTTTAGTAACAGGGTGAAATTGTTAATGCACTCAACCCATTCATTTTCATTTGTGGGTTCACGTGGTGGAGTTACAGCCTGGACAATAGGTTACATGATTTCAAATGTATCTGCCTATGCATGTCAGTTGAGGAACATTTACATACACTCTCATTTTAGCCAACAGCCAAGGGTGGGTATTCATCACACAAGCTGCCGGGCGCGTCGGCTGCCAGCAGCACGTGCCCTGGGCTAGTCAGCAAAAGCGTTGCTCTGCGTGTGTTCAGAGCAGCGAGGGCAGAGGGGAGGCCGAAGCCCCAGGCTGGATTTGACACGCTCGCCAGGCCGGGCGCCCCGCTGAAGCGATGTGCCCCGACTCAAGCGGTGCCACAGGGGGCCAGCTCCAGCACCTCCTCGGCTAGGAGTACAGTGCACAAGTTTGTAAATTGTACAGAGCCAGCTCTGGTCAGACAACGTAATTAGTCACAACTTTGTGTCCTACTAAAGCTTCAGTACAGTTTGGGAATTGCCCTGTCTCTGAAGCAGTACAGTCATGTCCACACAGTGCCGCAACCTGCCCAACAAACCCTCTTTTCCCTGTCTTTGCTCAGCTCTGTATCCTCACCTTTTTCCCAACAGCAACCCCTCTCCCAGCCCCGCGTTCCACATCTCCCATCCCTAGGTAGCAATACCCCTCCCATACACACCCCATTTCCCCCCGCCGCCCTTGCGATACCAGCTTGTTCGGGCAGGCGAAGAGCAGCACGCTCCGAGCGGCCACACGCCCTGCTGAAAAGGAAAGCCGCACTGCTGAGGGCTGCGCGGCCGGCACGCAGGCTCGGCTACCGAGCCCGGCCAGGCCAGGCCAGGCTCTGCGCACTGGTGTCAGCTCACGTTGGCACTACAAGGGCTGCTGCACTCACTTTACCATTGTGTCAGTCACCTGAGGAATTCCCAGACGCCTGCTACCGAAGACAACAGGGAATTGACTCTATCATCATCCTTTTTCATCTCTCAGCCCCTTAAACACCTAGCTTAGAAACAAAGCATCTTTACAGATACGTGTCAGCCATCCCAAATCTAACATATGCATTCAACAAGCGAAGCAACAGCTACAAATCAATGCAAAATACATGCCTGCAACTTCAAAACATGATTAAAAACCAACCAAATAATCTCAAAGGGAAAGAAGTACTTAATGAGGACTTGTAAAATGACCTAAAACAAATGTGAAAAATCTCAAAACAAAGAAAATCAGAGCTGATTCATGTCAGAGATGACACCCAAGAAATGAATTAAAGGATTCAACGGGAAGTCTGAATAACAGAACCCAAGCATTTTCAAAGTGCAGAAGCATTCCTTTACTGCTGCCATCACTCTCGGCACTGGATTTAGCAAGTATTACGGCCTTTATGCATCTTAAAGCCACTTTCCATTTGCTCTGTGGGTCAGAGGTGTGGGGAGACAGTCAAAATTATTTTCAGATTCAGGCGGAAAGCTGCAAACAGTGAGAAAGACAGCATCCTCATACTGCGCTTGTAGTTCTTCATCTATTTTGTGGCAGAACTCCAAGTTATTGGGATACTGTACTTCACATGTTTTTGTTGCCACAGCAGAAGGAAAACATGCTCTGTCTCCAGGTAACGGGAAACAGTAATTCTTAAAATACAATTTTTGTTTTACATTTCAGTTAATTTTAAAAATTCTTGGCTACAATGGGACAAATTACTTTCCAAAACAGTTGCATTTTTGTAAACTTCATGTTTATTAGAATATTTTCTTGAAATTATTTCAGTATTCTATGCAAACAAAGTTTTTGCATAGTAACATAAAGCAGAGGCACCTTCCTGTGATCGGATTTTGGCTTGTTTGCTTATCATCTACATGCTGTTATTCAAGGTACAGCTGGAATGACAGACAAACCACAGCTTGTTATGACGATGATTTCAAAAGGTTTTAAACAGCCTGCTCTCTACAACAAAACTTGTTTTTCTTCAGAACTGCTTCTATGGCTTGTAAGTGGGCAAAGGATGCAAAATAAGTTTCTCTGGTAAGAAACAAAAAGGTTCTAAAATTAAAGGTCTAGAAGTTTCACAGTAGT